TGGCTAATGGTGACACAAGCCAAAAAAATCGTTATGACATCATAAAGTGGCCAAAATCTGATTTTCAGACAGGTTTTTATAGAAATGGATCAGGACAAAAAGTGAGCGAATCTTTTTTCCTGAAACTTTCAGACTCTCTTTACACAGAGGGGACACATGTTGATGTATAAAAGATATGAAAAGGAGGAAGTTTGCATGATAGGTGACCTTTAAAGGAGACATACTGTATGTTGCTCATTTTCAGGGTGCTAGAATTGTTGGGATTTGTGTATTTGGGGTTTCTAATATAAAATGTGAACATGCTTCAATGTTCATAAATCCCATTGTTTGTTGTCATACTATCTTTTTCCGGGTTTCCATGTCTGCTCTCTCTGTGTCTGTGCGTCATCATTGCAGAATTACTGTAACAGGACAGTCGTGTCACTTTTGACCTATTTACTAAACTGTGTATCAACAAAGTTGTGAATTTAAGTACTGATGGCATGTGTAAAGGCACATTTTCTACTGAGTACGGACTTTTACAGTTCCCAGTGGATTGAGTGTTTTGATACTTTTCACAGTATTTATATAGACTATACCTGTTTTATAATTTACAAAAAGGGCATGAAAATGTAGGGCCTTTAATTTTAAACATCAATGGAACAATCACAACATTCAAAGCCATGACCAAAAAAGCAGGGTCTCTGTTTGTACAGATTGTCCAGCTTATCAGCAGGTCTGCAGCACAATGGAGACCCTCCTGTTTATATTTTTTTAATTTCTCTGAAAACAGTTCATGAATGTGTCATAAAAGCAGAGCGAGAGAAGGAGACTGCTGTTATCCAGTTGTTGGGCCACAGAAGAAAGAGGGGAAGACCTAAATCTGTCAGGCAGGAGTTATGGCAGAAACACTGAGGTCGGGACACAGCCAGGCTCCTTTCACACAGGAAGAAGGACATTAATCAAGTGCAGTGTGCATCAGCCTCGATGAACTGATAACACACTGAGGGTCTGGTTTGGAGTGAGGTCAGGGGTCAGAGATTGTGTACTATGGCCATGAGAGAAGACTACGAGAGGAAGAGAGACAGAGACAGGGAGAGAACATGTGATGTGTTGCAACAGACAGTCTCAGGCTGGAGTCATCTCCCTGGAGCTGGGCCACGCAAACAGCGAGACAGACACACACACACACTTCCCTCGAGGGATTTCTCTTTAACGCAGACAAACACTGCCTTCAATTTCAATTTCCAAATAAACAATAATTAGCCATGGGACACAACGTCAGCCAAAGCGGCTTATTAGCTGCAACGTTTTGCAAAGTGTGATCTGCAAATACAACTGTCTCACACTACAGTGAGCACAATAGAGTGCCACAGTGACGCGTCCTAAAACCCGGAAGTTCCTTCGACAAAAACGCAATGCAATCTCTCCATAGGATTTTGGAAAATAGCTGGAAATAAGGTCTATGGTTGAAACACATTTAAGAGACGGATCACGTTTTATTCAGTCGGATAATCTCCACATGTCTACCCTACTTTTATAATCGTAAATCTAATCGCCAGAAGCAAAATGCTAACGTTATGCTATAAACGAACTACAGCAGGGTCGCTGCTTCAACGTCACACCAACTTAAGATCCATATTAAAAAATACAGATTCAAAATTGTACGAGTGGAAGCGTTTGTTTTAACAGTTTGCAGGAGGCAGGTACTTGCTTTCAAGCAGAACAGGGGCAGCGGGAGTGTTTACGTGTTCGGTGTAATGACGTACAACGGCCTCGACAACTTCTGTAGTCCTATTCAGTCACATGTTAACAACCACACGTCAACTCTTCAAAAATCACCAGTGGGGTCACTGCTGATGGATTTAATGTCGTAGAACAAAACGTGATCCGTCTCTTCAATGTGTGTCAACCACAGACCTTATTTCCAGCTATTTTCCCCAATTTTTAGTGTTAAAAAAAAAGAAGTGGTAACTCACTTCCGGGTTTTAGGACGCTTCACTGTGGCACTGTATATTTACTTAATATGCAATACTAAAAAAGCTATGATGCATGAACAAGTTCAGTTTTCTAAAAATATATTAGAGAAATTATGCTTTTTCTCTCTCAGGAAGTTCTTATGAACGTTATTCCAGTAAGAAATGCAGCATATAACCTTAACCCTAACCCTTTGGCCTAGTTTTGTTTAAAATTGTCAAAAACAAAAAGTTGGAGTCTATAAGAAGCAAAGAAAGTTAACTTTCTTCTATTTATAGAGCACGTAAAAATAAACAGTTAATCTTTTGGAGAAATAACTAATTATTCTGGCACATATTAAGATGAGAAGACTAATACTGTTCTCATCTCTGTTCAATAAATACAAGGCTACATAAAGAATGTTGTTTTTGGCAGGGCCAGGCTAACTGTTTCCCCTTAATATCAGTGACTATGCTAAGCTAACCAGCAGCTGGCAGTAGCTTCATATTATGAGGCAGACACAACATCAATCTTTTCATCAAACTCTGTCCCCCCATAAAAAATCAAACTATTACTTTAAATGCAATGGATCGTAACCCTGCCTCCTCTGCCATCACTCTTGTAAGGACTTTCTTGTTCACAGGTGGGCTGTTTGTATTTTTTAAAAAGCCCCCAAAGAGTACCAACCCTCCCGCATTTGTTGCTTAAATGACAGCCTAATCGGTCGTGTGTGGGCTGTGACTGACACACAGGCTGAGTGAGTAATACGTCCCAGATGGTGGTGTGTGTGTGTGTGTGTGTGTGTGTGTGTGTGTGTGTGTGTGTGTGTGTGTGTGTGTGTGTGTGTGTGTGTGTGTGTGTGTGTGTGTGTGTGTGTGTGTGTGTGTATTTCATCGCTGTGTACTCACAGTCTTGGGCTCGATGGACTCGGCGGCTTTCGTCATGCCGTCTAAACATTTCCCCACGATGGGCAGCACTTGGCGGTCCACGTCTGCAAACGTCTTCATGCACACTGCTACCCTGTCAATTCGTTTCTCCTCCATGTCTTGAAGTTTCTGTTGGATAAAAAGCAGGCATTTTAATACATAAATACAAGATTTATTAGCTTGGGTTATAAAATGAATGAGAGATGGGAAGAGCTTTAAAATGAAACACAGCCAGTTTGGATTTAAACTGGGCTGCCTTTTGACATTGAGCATCAAAGATTTGACAACACTTTCATTTTTCTAAATGTTTGACCCTATTTTGAAAATCAAGCATCAGAGAAGTGAAAAAAGATTTTAAACAAACAAATGAGCACACAAAATAGCTTTTACTGCACTCGTCATCATGATGTGTGTTTCCCACATGTTTGGAATATATTTTTAGTAGTCGACCCAGAGG